TTGAGCAAACAAGCTTGCTTCGTTGGAAGTATGGAAACTCTGGAGAAATTCAAAAAGGATAAGCGATCGCATAAATCAAGTTTTACGAAATATTTGAACGAATTAGCCCTGGAATTGTCGCTGGAAGCTCCGAAAAAAGTAAGAATTGTGTAAAGACTGAATGACATCGAAAGGCGACGAGACGAATTGCTCGAATTATTGGAGAATCTTCAAACCTTGTACAAAGAAAGTAAAGAAATGACGAATGTAGAATCAATGGATCAAGAAGCCGACAACATAGTGGACCGTGTCGGTAGCGAAACAAGAGGAGCTCGGTTGTTTTTAGCGAAAGGAGTGGACAAAGGAGCGAAGGAATTACTGTTCAGAGCAAGAGCGGGAAATCGGATGACACGAGTGCAAAGGATAGTCACGTGGCCGACCCAAACAAACAACTCGAGAGGATTCGAATTCCTAATTTTTCGGGCGTCAAGATGAAATATTCTGCTTGGGTGGCAGCGTTCTGGAGTTGCGTCGATGAGACTTCGCTGTCATCGCAATTTAAAATGTTGCGGCTGGAAGGTTGTTTGGAAGGTGAAGCAGCCGCTACGGTGAGAGGTTTAGGCTATTCGTGGGAGGCTTATAAAGCAGCAAAAGCGAGATTGAATCGAAAGTATGGAGGAAACCGACGACAGGTTCAGGCGCATATTGATGAGTTGAGAAGGATGAAACCTTTGAAGGCTGAGAACCCTCGAGAGTTGGAAAGATTTGCTGACCTAGTGGAAAGGAGAGTGGATACTTTAAAGGAAAACAAACACACCTCAGACCTTGAAGGCGGAACTTTGTATGCTATTGTGTTGGAAAAAATTCCCCAATCTTTGCTTAGCCAGTACTACAGATGGGTTAAAGAAAAGGGAAAGCTGGAGTCTTTTGAGGAATTGCGGGAGTGGGTCGCTGAAGAAGCAGAATACCAAATTCAAGCATCAGAGGTAAAGAATGGTGTTTCCAGTGCAAGTGGTAAGAATGTCAAATGGCCTCGGTTGTATTTCGGGACTGGAGATAAATGTGACCGCCCTTGCAAGGTGTGCAACCAGAAACATCCAATTTGGAAGTGCGAGGTGTTCAAAGGAATGGAAAATGAAAAGAAGTGGGAGACAGCGAAGAAGCTAGGCCTTTGTTATCGTTGCTCAGGAAAAGGGCACCTGGGTGAGGGATGTCGTTGGAGTGAGGAGTGCGGTGTGGATGGGTGCAAGGAGCATCAACACCAGATACTTCATCGAAGCAAAAGTCTGCCAGGTCCCATGGAGGGGAATATTGATTCTTACAATACATCTAATGCCTATTGGAATGAGTCTATGACGTATGAAACAGTAAAGGAAGGACGTACGAAAACAGTAAAGGACGTATGAAACAGTAAAGGATTATAAGCTCTAGAACCTGGTGGAATACTATCTTAAATTCTGACCATGAGTTTTATCGTTATTTATGTTTCTATAAATTGTAAAAAGTTTGTAATAGTTTCTGAAAAACCTCACGAGGATGTTACTGTTAAAGATGATGAAGGAACACGACCAGCGAAGAATCGCCCTTCGCACCGTCCCAGTTTTTCTGAAGCATGGAGCCAAGCGTTTGCAAGTTAACTGCTTTTTAGATGAGGGTAGTGATACCACCTATGTAAACGAATTAAGAAGTGGTGGAAGACTTAGGTTTGGAAGGTCCAAGAGAGACAGTTACTGTTAAGGTTGCAAATGATCAGAAGGTTGATTTAATGTCAGCCACTATGGAGATTGGGCTAGAGAGTTTGGATGGTCGAGTAGACACTGTGATTGTCGCGAAAACATCGCACAGTATTTGTGCTGGCATGAAACCGACTAACTGGTTAGAGATAACAGATCAGTGGAAACATTTGAAGACCATTCCCTTCCCTAAACTAGGGAAGAGAAGCAAAATCGACATGCTCATTGGTTCAGATTATTACAATTTGCTAATTCCTATGAAGGACGTTCGTGGAGGCGATGGTGAGTCAAGTGCAAGACTGTGTCCACTAGGGTGGACAGCCATTGGTACCATCGATGTGTGTGAGCAACATGAGTCATGTAGCACAGGATTTCTTCACACCTATCGGATGCAGAAGTCAGACGGTAATGAGGTGGAGCTTAACAATCTGACGAAACAATTTTGGAACCTTGAGGCTATTGGCATTATCCCACGAGTAGATCGACAGCTGACTCCAGATGAGAGGCTAGTGGTCAACAAGGTCAACGAGTCCATGAGATTCATCGGAGAGAGATATGAGGTTGCGGTACCTTGGAAACAGGACAGACCACAATTGCAATCAAACCGACAGATGGCTGAAAAGCGCCTTCGCTGAGACGAAAAGAACTTGATGCAGGATAAGAGCCTTGCTGATGCGTATCAATCAATGATTGATGACTACATCAGGAAGGGATACATCCGAGAAGTTCCAGAGATGGAGCCAAAACCAGCCTCAGAATGGTTCCTTCCACACTTCCCAGTGGTTCGCCCAGAGAAGTCCACAACCAAAGTTCGGATTGTATTCGATGGCTCGGCTCAGAAAGATGGAAAGAGTTTAAACACTGAATCGTTACCAGGTCCTAAGTTGCAGAATGACATTGTGGACATTTTAGTGAAGTTCAGGAAAGAGCCATTTGCTTTAGTTGGTGACGTGACACAAATGTACCATCAGCTAATTCTCAGACCAGTTGAAAGGCCACCGCACAGGTTCCTCTATAAGAAATTAGACTGTGATGATTCACCCAGGGTGTTAAAATTTCAGAGGTTCATTTTCGGAGGCTGTTATTGCCCATTCTGTGTTCAGCACGTTTGGTAAAAAACACGCAGAATTTAACATGAAGACGTACCTATTGGGAGCTAGAGCAGTTTTGGAACATTGCTGCATGGATGACCTCATGCTTTTAACACCCATCGTAGAGGAGGCTAAAGAAACGAGGAAGCAACTGACCGAATTAGGCGACAAGGCTGGATTTCACATCTGCAAGTGGGTATCGAACGACGTTAATGTGATTGCTGACATAAAGGAAGAAGACAGAGCTTCCGAGATCGATTTAGAGAAGAGAGAGTTGCCGACTACCAAGACCCTTGGTGTCCTGTGGAGCACAGCAGAAGATAAGTTCTTTTTCCGGCACTCTTTGTAATTTGATGGATTTGAATTCACCGAAAGAAATATCTTAAAAAAGACAGCAACCTTGTACGACACATTGGGTTTCTTGTCGCCTTACATAATCAGATCGAAGTTTTTGATGCAGAAAACATGGCTAGAAGGAGGGGCATGGGATGATTTGTTGCCGAAACACCATCGGCAAGAGTGGATTAAGTGGTTTCGAGAGTTGAATGACCTTAAACTATAGTGCAAATCCCAAGTTGTTTGAAAGATCCCGTGGCTAAGGTAGTAGAGTTGAGTATCCATACATTCACAGATGCCTCCGAGAGCGCATATGCAGCTACAGTCTACGCACGTCATGTCTATGAAAATGATTATGTTACTGTTCGATTGACTGCATCTAAGTCCAGGCTTGCACCGTTGAAAGCTGTTAGTATACCCAGACTGGAGCTACTAGGTGCGTTGATTGGTACACGACTAACAATACAAATTTGCTCAGCCCTCAAGATCTCCACAGACAAGGTGACATACTGGGTGGACAGTATGAATGTGGGATATTGGATCCGAGGTCAAAGCAGAGAGTACAAGCCATTCATAGCTCATGGTGTGGGCGAGATCCACGAGTGTTGAGCCCCTAGTCAGTGGCGCTATGTACCGACTAACGCAAACCCAGCTGACTATGGAACAAGGGGCCTGACAGTTGAAGATTTAGAAAGCACAGGTCAGTGGTGGAATGAGCCTGAGTTCTTGAACAGGGCAGAAGAAGAGTGGCCAGAGTGCAAATTCGATCTACCAACCTCTGAAGAGGGTCTTGAATTAAAAAGAGGAAAGGAAGTTTCAGCGAAGGAGACTTGCAGCTATGCAACCATCAAGGAAGGTGGAGAGAATGTTGACGGTGAAAATGCTAGAGAGGAAGATGTTTGGCGGTTAAACCCCTCAAGGTATTCAAAATGCTTTCGGGTAAAAAGGAAAGGAGAACTGAGATTTGGCTTGTCTCTAGTAAGAGTGAGGGCCTGGGTACACCAATTTAATGCAAACTGTAGGAGACCAGCCGACCAGAGATTGAAGGGCGAGCTTACGCCATTGGAACTTTCAGATACCGAAGAAGCCATTGTCAGGGAAGTGCAGACTAAGACGTATGGAGTAGAAATGGAGGCGCTAAGAAAAACAAGCAGATCCCAAGACAAAGTACACTGGCACCACTGAATCCAGTATTGGTTAATGGAATTTTGAGAACGAAAACAAGATTACAAAATGCAGATGATCTTCCCTATGAAGTGAAATGTCCAATCATTTTGCCAAAAAGAAATCAAGTCACCGGACTGATTGCTAAGTACTATCATGAATCAGAAGGTCATCCGATGGGACTTAACTATACCCTCAATCACCTACGGGAAAAGTATTTCGTGGCCCATGCACGCGAACAAGTTAAAAGGGTCGTGAAAGAGTGTCGGGAGTGTGCGAAGCGATTTCAATCAAGGCCAGCCTGTCAGCAAATGGCACCTTTACCAAGAATCAGACTACAGCAAACATCCAGGCCATTTATAAATTGTGCAGTTGATTTTGGTGGACCCTACTTCACCAAGCAAGGACGTGGTAGAGTACGAGTAAAGCGATATTTGTGTTTATTCCTCTGTCTACAGACCCATTGCTGCCATCTAGAGTTGGCGTCGTCCTTAGATACTGGAGTATTTGTTAATGCGTTTGTACGGATGGCTGGGAGATGGCTGTTACGTAGATAGTTTGCAGCAGTAGGATTTAATTTTCTTATTTTGTCAGCGGTGGAAACACTGTGTTTATACCACAGCTGGTCACAACAGCTACAGATATATAAATTGGGCCCTGGCACACAATGTTGTGAAACCTTTTTATTATATCATCCATATTTTTTCCGTTTCCCTTCTTTGTTTCTTTAGTGGTTGCTTGTTCACATATTTCACCCTGAAATCCAGTGGTTGGATTCTCTACAGTGCCAGAACTTTGTATTTCCTTTTCACATTCTCATTTTCACATTCAAAACTTGGATTCTTTCTGTTTCCCTTCTTTGTTTCTTTAGTGGTGGCTTGTGTAGAAACCGTAGAAAGAACTCACGACAGTTCAACACAACACATGTTTAATGAACATGGCGACCCGTGAAAGCACGAGGTTCCAGTATGCATTGGAAGCAAAGAACATGCACAACAAATACATATATGGGCATAACCGTACAGCTTGTTCACATATTTCACTCTGACATCCAGTGGTTAGATTCTCTACAGTGCTAGAACTTTGTATTTCATTTTTAAAATCAAAACCTGGATTCTTTTTGTCAGACGTTTTCTTCTTGGAAAGCTTCATGTAAGCATTCCATTTTTGTTTCTGCTCAGGAGTTTTTGACTCATCTCAACTGGTCTTAGTAGTTAACCTAAATTTCCTCATGCAAGCACCACGTTTCCTTTTTCGACTCATGTTAACATGTGGTTGTTCAGAAAGAACATTTTGTTCTATTGACTTCAAATGATTATTACTATGCTGATTTTCTAAGTCAGAGCTATATGGCATTGTTGATACATAATGTACTTCATTTACGTGACCTAAATATAATGTTGCGGGTAGCTGTTGTGATAAGTGGTTGGGTTCTACCAAAGTGACCTCAGCAAAATTTTCATGGGATTCTATGATATAAATATTTTCATGTTGAGACTTTGCAACTCATTTAGTGCATCACACCATGTACCTTGCATTGACATATTACTTAAATAATCATTACATGAATGCTCTGTATTGCTTTCAATAAAACTTTCAGGGTTATCGCTGAGGTATTGAACACCAACTTCTCTTATGTGCAGATGATGACTCGAATCACCATACAACTGATGTGAAACAGCTCTAAAAAAACAGTCACCTGCACCACCAACATCTAGAGGTCTCAATCCCAGCTTACGTAATCGATAGTTTAACAATAAGGTGGAACCTACTGACAATCCAGTTTCATCACTCGATATCACCGGACATCAAAAGATTCATTTTTGATACACAATATCTTTTGGTACAGCTACATGATTTTACTGTTTTGTGGTCAACTAAACAATGCATACTAGTTTGTTTACTACTTTGCAACAACTTGTTTGCTGCCCATCTTTTTAAGATTTGCAAAGTTGGTAAAAAAAAACAAAAAAAAAAACAGTCGCATCGGTGTACGTTACATACCATAACTTATAGTCAGTCGCTAACTTGTACTAACTTGAAGATTTAGGAGTAAATTTCCTGAAAATGCGCTTCAGCTTGCGTCTAGCTTTTCTCTTTTTCGTGGAGCTTATAATCTTTTTTTATCGGTAATCTTGACGGCTCTGGGTCTCTATGACGTTTTACCTGTACTTTGCAATGTCTATCAAATTCACTCTCTGTGGAGTCCTGGGACTAGTAGAGTCGTCACGTGACTAGAAGGTTGTGTGCGGTCGAGTTAGTTGAGTTTTCCTGCTATGTGTGAGTTGTAACCCTGAGTTTACACACTGTTAATGTATTAAATACATCACATTTTTGGCGACGAGGAACGTGATCGGACGAACATGACCAGGTAGACTAGAGTGAAGCGAAGTCTGCACGGAAAATGCCTACATTTGGGAAATTAGACGAATAGACCGAAACGGAAGATTGGCGCCATTACATCAAGCGTGTAAACCACTTCTTTGAAGCCAACGAGATTACGGATCCTGACAAGCAAAGATCCATTTTCCTGGTTAGTGAGGGAGCCAAAACCAACAAGCTTATACGAAGTCTGGTCGTCCCGGAAGACCAGAAGGATAAAAGCTTTGAGGACTTAGCGACACCCGCCTGGGAACATTTCATGCCCAAGCCTTCCGCTATTGTTCAACGATTCAAGTTGAACACTCGCACCCAACAACCAGGTGAGACCATTGCCATGTTTTTACCTGAGTTGAGGCACCCGACCGAACACTGTGAATTTGGGGCAACATTAGATCAAATGCTACGTGATCGGCTTGTGTGTGGTGTCCACGACATCAGAATACAGCGTCGTCTACTAGCCGAACTGAAATTAACCCTGAAGCGAGCCCTCGATCTGGCTCTCGCAATTGAGGCCGCGGACAAGGATGCCTCGGAGATACAAAAGGAAAACTCTCAGGAAGGGGATACTCCGCTCAACAAAGTCGATTTTAAAGTAGAAAAAGGTGGCGAAATTAATTGTTATCGCTGTGGCGGTAATCACCACCCCAAAAGCTGTCATTTTAAGGATGCGAGATGTTATGCTTGTGGAAAGCTAGGTCACCTATCCAGAGTGTGCCAGGCCAAAAAGAAAGGGAGACCACCGCCTCCCAGTAATAATGACAAGTCGGAGATCCCATTGGATACTCATCTCCTAGAGGGAGGAGAGGAGACAATGGGGAGAGAACAGGATGTGGGTGCATATTCTTTGTTTACCCTTGGCGGTAAACGACCCGCACCATACAAAGTACAGCTGAGTCTTGGTGGGCAAGCACTAGAAATGAAAGTTGACACCGGGGGCTTCATTGTCAGTGATTAGTGAGAACACCTACAAAACCCTTGTTTCAGAAAACAGGGCGCCCCCATTGGAGAGATCAGGAATTGTCCTTCGTACATACACTGGGGAAGAGGTCCAGCCCGAAAGGGTGTGTACAATTGACGTAAATTATGAAGGGGGCAAATTCTCCCTACCGTTGTTAGTTGTAAGTGGAGAAGGCCCAGCCCTGTTAGGGAGGAATTGGCTGGAAGAAATTAAGCTAAATTGGCCAAAGATTAAGCAACTCACTTTACATGACAAGCGACTCAGTGAGATTTTGCAGAAACATACACAGCTATTTTGGGAGGGTCTGGGGACTCTGCGTGGGACAAAGGCCAAAATCCATGTGGATCCCACAGCCACCCCCATTTTCCATAAAGCCCGACTAGTACCATATGTTCTCAGGGAGAAAATTGAACAAGACTTGGAAAGACTTGAGAAGGCGGGGACCATTGAACCCGTGCAATATTCTGAGTGGGCCACACTCATTGTCCCAGTCATGAAGAGTGATGGCACAGTACGAGTCTGTGGAGATTACAAGCTTACCGTCAATAAGGTCTCGAGATGGGATGGCTACTCTGTTCCCAAGCTTGATGATCTATACACAAAGTTGGCTGGAGGTCAAATGTTTACGGAGTTAGACTTCAGCCATGCTTATGAGCAGATGCTCGTGGATGAGAATTCAAGGGAGTTTTTGACAATTAACACGCATAAAGGCTTTTTCAGATATAACCGCCTTCCGTATGGGGTCTCTTCGGCGCCCGGCATCTTCCAGAGAACCATGGAGGGCTGGCTGCAAGGGATACCTTCGAGAGGAGTCTTGCTAGATAATATCCTCATCACAGGGCCCAGCACGGAAGAGCACCTAGACAACATCGAGAAAGTTTTAGGACGCCTCTCCGATGCCGGCTTGCGGCTCAAAGCCGGAAAGTGCCAATTTATGAAGCCCGTTTTGGAGTGCCTGGGACACCGCATTGACGCAGAAGGATTCCACACAGTTGACTATACAAACTCTTTAATTATTCACTGTGAAAGAGCCTGTGACAGAGCTTGGGCTACCTGTGCTGCCATGTGTGAGTTGTAACCCGGAGTTTACACACTGTTAATGTATTAAATACACCACACACTCACACGCTGAGCACACCTCCTCATCAGTGCTAACCATCGCATGGAAAGATTCAGTAAAAACGACCCGTGGGTGATATTTAACAAGATTACTAGTTCTAGTATGACTTTGTCGGAAGGAAATCGCCACAGCTTTTGCATATGTTTGGCCAATGAAAGGTATTTTCACATAGGAAATCGCCACAGCTTTCGTATATGTTTAGCTAATGAAAGGTATTTTCACATTAAATCCTTCAGACGCGAAAGATTTTCTGCCGTTTACATTTCCCTGACAGGGCTTAGTTAATCCCTCAGCGGGCTTTGTTATCTCCAAAAGGGGCTCAATATTTCCCATAACGGGCTTTCCTTTCCCCAAATGGGGCTCATAAAGCATAACGGTCGCAAAATAGCCGCATGGAGATTCTGTCGGCGCCAAGTACCTTGATCTTCAACTTTGAAGCGCCTTTCGAAACCTTTCATTCGGCCAGATTGACACATACTTCGAAAGCTGTGGCATACTGAGAAAATACGTCTTAAGAAATTCATCACAAAGTAAGAAATTAACAGGTAACTTACAATGGGACAACTCGTAGTTTTCTTGCAGTTGTCGGGAGTTGTCGTGGAAAGCACATTGTGTTGAAGCAATAGTCGTCTCTACTAATACACATTCGATAGGTTCCGATTGTCATTTCGGGTCACGAAGAAATCTGATTATCGATGATATTACCCTCCTGGTACCCAGTAAAGAAAGATTCATGTAATGTGTCACGTAGGAGAAACCTCAGTGAAGGCGTGAATACTAAGACAAGGAATGACCTAAAACCACCTACAACCACCTACAACCACCTTTAGAATAATATTGTGCCAATTTGTGACAAATTTCAATGTAAATGCACACCGGAAATGTCGTATGTCTCGCGAGTCATGACCAGGGAAAAAACACGAAGAAAATTGTTTACACAGGAGCAGCACCAAGAGCCTTGAGGTTTTTCGTGTAATAGACATACTATAATAATAATAATAATAATAATAATAATAATAATAATAATAATAATAATAATGATGATGATAATAATAACATATTTAACCAGGGTAAACCCGTCAACAGAAGCTGTTATCTAAGTACTTATAGAAAGGCTTACAATTGAGGACTTGATCTCCCAAATAAACACTACAAAGATTGTAAGAGTCAATTTGATTGCGTTTTCATAGCAGTTCCAAAGATTACATATTCAGTTTTCTTAGAATAACATGATAAACAAATCGTTCTTAGTAGACCAATCTAAGAGAAAATTGAGCTCGACATTTAACACCTGCAACAGCTGGTTTGCATCTGAGGCTGCGTGATAGATGACGGTATCATCAGCATACATTAATACATTAGCAGCCTGTAAACAGTTTGGTATATCTGTTAATTAGAAAGAAAAAAGCAGAGGGCCCAGAATAGAACCTTGTGGAACTCCGGAGACCACTTGTCGAGGCCGGGACAGGACACATCCTACGAAACCTGATTGGGTACGATCTGTTAGGTAATCAGACATCCAACGATGCTCACTATCACGAATTCCAAATAAATAGCCTTTGCCGTACATTTCCTACATTGATATTTCTCGGTCAGTTAGGAAGTAATCGTTAAAATATATATATAATCTATTGTCAGACGTTGCTAAAAGCCCCTCCATTAGCGCATCTCTGGTTGCGAAATAATTTTTTTTATTTGCTGTTCCTCAGTTCGAGTTTTTTTGCTTGTGACTTCACGGTGGATGGAAACCCAGAAACTGCGAGATTTAGGCGCTTAAGAGAAAACGATATTTCGTTGGACGAATTGCTTAGTCACGCTTTCCACAAAGTTAAGCTTGATCTCGATCAGCTGGCATCTATTTATTTGCGGTTGCGGGTACATTTGTGGAAAATGTGTAAATGAAGCGTGAAAGTATACAAAAACAATAAGTCACAACATGTCTGGAATTTATCCATATGATGTAATTTCTGAGTTTCCTCTGACATTTCACGACATTTAACTTTTTTCAAATTTACGATTTTTAGTTTTTTATGGACCCTCGACACTTTTCTCGGACCCTCGACATTTTACCCTCAACCCTCGACATTTTACCCTCGACCCTCGACATTTTACTCTCGACCCTCGACATTTTATCCTCGACGAAAACCTAAACTCGATTGCAGTTTATCAAACAAGATTTTATGATCAATAGAGTCAAAAGCCTTACGGAAGTCCACAAAGATGGCACGTTTTCGAGGTCAGTATTTTCAAGGTCTGAGTTTTCGAGGTCTGCGTTTTCGAGGTATGCTTTTTTCGACGTCTGTCTGAGATCAACGGAACACCTAGCAGTACCCCCAGTAGCAGGAAATTTAATGAAGTTGCGTAATATAACATTTTGCCCTTTGCTAAGAAATCGAAATCCGAGCAACCGTAGCATTTCAAATTGCTTCAAATTGGGCTGCGTAGTGAGCGTATAACAAAGAAAACAAAACATTTTAAAATAAGATGCTATTTATATTCAGAGAAAAAAAATTAATTGACTAAGAACAGAAAGCCGCGAAAAGAACAGCGACAGTTGAAACGATGTGACAGCTGTGATAAACAGAACTTGCAAATCTCGCGAGATGCATGTAGCTTATAAATTCCCTAAAATTACCGCAGTTACAAGCAACATCCCTACGAGTCCCAAACGCGAAATAGATCGAATCAATCGGCTCTCGGGACCTACGACATGCTGGCATTAATTAATTCCGATTTTAGTTCTTGATTTTGATTACTTTTGATTTCCCTGTTGTTACACACGTTCGGTTAGGTGCATCAGTACAATCTTCGCTCAGGCTCTCTTAGAGATGATCCCGCTATGGCTTTTACTAACCGTCTCAACAAATTTATTACATATAGATATTCTTTGTAAAATGTTTCATGTTATTGTATAGATATGATTTGTATCCTGACCACTCTCGCAATTTAGCTGTAAGCTACAAAAAGCTAGAGNACAAGGGAGTTTTTAACAGGTCAAAGAGAAAGCTAATCAGTTGAAATACAAATATAAGCTAGAAAGGTCAAGGTAGCGCAAGTCAACATTCATCTCCTCAATTTCAAGAATTTTCAAAAGCAAGTGAGTTAGCTCACTTTTAAAAGGTGCTTTCTTTAGCTTACGAATTTCAGGGGGGATGCCATTCCATATTTTCGCACCAACTCTAGACATCTGACAAACAGCATCTCACACTGCCTGTAAAGAAATGTCCAAACTACTTTCATACCTCTCTCATTAGTAGCTTGTGTCGTGGGCAGCTCCTGTCTTGTTTTGGTGTAACATATTCTTTAGGGCAATTCTTATACCTGTCCTTTGTCAAAGCACTTTGAATGTAAAAATCTGCAAGAATATTGTATGTGACGATAGAAATGTCCTCTTCCCCACATTTATCGTGATCACTGATGTATGTGGTTTTTCGACTATCCAGAGTTGGCAAAGTACTCATTTTACACTTCAAAACTGCACAAATATTTTTTTGAAACAGGACAAGGTGGTGTTAAAGTTTCTCTGTAAAAAAATGTAATAATCATTGTGAGGCAATGAAATTCATTCAGTTTTAATAGTGAGAGTTTATTGAGCTAGACTTCCACATAACCCCATTAAGTGTAAATAGTGCTTTTCACATGCACTGATTGGCTTGTTCCAAAGTTATTGGGTGCCTGGTTGCCAAGCTTTTGAGCAGAAGTGAGGCTTGGGGTGACCTTGTTATAATACAACTGTTGCTGCATTTCAAATGTAAATTACTTTGTTATCATGCTAACTAGATACTGGTCTCTATCACAACAAAGTCACCTTTAGTGCCACTCCAAATCAAAAGCTTGGAAACTAAGTATACAAATGTAAAATGGCCTACTCACTTCCAAGGAGGCGAAGAGACAAAGTCGTGCGTCAACAATTGAATTTCCAACCATTTTTTGATAGATTGACAAAGCTAAACTATTTTTTGGTTTCTGCGTGTGTAGGGTCTTAGCGTGCGGAATGTTTTTTTGTTTTGTTTTTCTCATTCAATCAATCATTAGGGTGTCTCTTTGTGTTGTCACTGTTTCTCGTCGTTCGTTAGTATTTTTTCGCTGTTTCTGTGTCATGTATTTTTGTTCATTAATTTCTTTCATAATATCGGCGTTAATTACACTTTAAGTTAGCTAGTCATTTTTGCATATATAACTTAGTCTTTCTCAGTTCAGAGCTTTAGTCTTCCATTAGCCATACAGTAGTTCGCTTTGAGCAGTTACTCCAGTTTATCCTTATTTCGCCTTCAGGCAGTTTATATTCGTCCAGCAATTTCTTAGAAATCGTAACAATGTAAGTATTGTCATTTCAAGTTCGTTCAGTGTATTTCTTTCCTGACACTTTTACTAGTCAATTGTTGTAATTTCGTATTCATTTATTGTTTTAAGTTTCAACCCACACACCGTCAAAATCATTCGTACCGAATAAGTCGTCTTTATCATCATGGTGTTCTGATGTTACAATCACTCCAGTTACAGTGTGGTATATTTACCTCGCCGCTTCTCAATTCGGCAAATATGCACCACCAAACACCTTCACTTCGGTGAATAATTGTTAAGTATACAGTTATAGGTAAAATAGGGAAGTGCACTGAAGCCTAAGAAAAAACATGTACGATAAATGTAAAGCCTTGGTCAAACGGCGCATGATAGTCGATGATAGTTGATTCTCTTCAAACTATCACCAACTATCACCAACTATCATTTGCATGGTCAAACAGCCAAAAAAGTTCGNAGAGAAGTTTCGATCGGAAGAGTGTAACAAGAAGCATTACGGGACCCATAGCTATCTCTAGCTCTATATCACGCAATCGCCATCTTGGATTAAAATTAGCGTGTGAGCTGGGCATGAGGAGTGAGAGTTTGAGGCGCGTGACGTCAGTTACGGTCGATCTAATAGTGGGGAATGTTCCATCCATAACTTAACATGTTGATAACATAATATCTTTAAAGCTCTGTTTATTAATCAAAGTTTCGTTAGAGCTACCTCATGGTCGTTGAAGAGTAATAAAGTAGATGTCAAATGGTGAGAATTTTAACCATCTCCTTCTAATATGGCGTGACGTGCCCTGAAATGACCAGTTGTTTATTAACTTAAAAGGCGTAAGCTGGAGCACTATGCATGAGGTTTCGAGACAATATTTCTTTAAAGTAAGATAAAAACCGAACAGTTAAAAAAATAATGATGCTGTAAATTCAATCTTTGCCCTAGCAAGTAATTAAATTCAACCGCGCGTTAAATGCGTAATAAGATTCACGCAGCCAAACCAGAAGCGAAATAGAAATGAATAAAGGCTGATAGTTTCTAAAGAAACTGTTTGCGGCTGCGTCGGTGGGGGTAACGAAATAACTTGAATATATCAACAAAGTTGAAATGGTAAATTGGCCACCGTTACGATTATAAAAGCTGACGTTTCGAGCTTTAGCCCTTCGTCGGAGCGAGTGACGAAGGACGAAGGGCTTCGCTCCGACGAAGGGCTAACGTTCGAAACATCAGCTTTTATAATCGTAACGGTGGCCAATTTACCATTTCAACTTTTTTGATATATTCAGAAGCGAAATAGCTCACAAGGTAAATTAAGAGACAAAAAGAAAAGTTAAAAAAGCAATGAAATCTGTAAAACCTCAAAACATGGTAAATCAACGGCTTAATTTTTGTCAAATATATCCAAGTGGCAGCAAAACAGATAACGAAACCAGTCTCTTTAAGGCACTGAACTGCTGCCAATCTATTTCTGTGAAAATTTTTTCATTAATTCGGCTCTTTCACTCGGGGGATACACGAAACAGATCTAGATAATTCAATATTTCTAGGAGTAAAGCACTCATACAGACAAAATTCATTTATTTCTTAGTGCGGAACAATGTATTTCTTACAATAACCAGATATAAATTTTTTGCTTTGTTCTATTTTGTTCAGTCTTTTTTCCGAGGGTCACATGTGGATACTAAGAGCTACCCTCAATAAAGAAAGAAGATAATCAGAATTCTATTTTAAAATTATAGTTAGTATACAGAGGGCAAAGCAGGGGAACTGAAAACGAGCCCACTGGCCGTAAATAGCCAAGAAAACTCACAGGATTCAAAGCAACAAAACACGTGAGTGTATGAGGCAATGTGGTGTTAAGGAAAGCATAGCTAGTTCAGATTTTGAGGTAAAGAATGCATCAAATAATACTTTATTTACCGATATCGTAGGTGCAAATAGGCTAAAAAGGAGGGTGTGTTAGCCACTGATATTGATCTAGAAGAACTTTTCAGATCTGATTCTCCTAATCTTAAGTTGAGCATGTTCAGAACACGAGCGAACATAGAGTCGCGAGAGATTTATCGAAAGTGAACACAAGCATTTGCATCGCATTTCCTCGAAACAAACAATATCGATAAATATGAAAATAGAACGGTTGAGGAGAAACATTAATTACATCAGGTACTACCTTGCAATTTTACGGTTCATTCTGTGAGCATGCGCGAGCGAGAAGTCGATCAGATGTGTACTGAGGTTAGAGCTCACAGTTTGAGGTGTAGAATTATTATCGTTTTCTAAAGCCGTTCTATTTCTCACGTACATTTATCTCATCTTTTAGAGCTATAGGACTTAGTCCCAAATAGGGTCAGCTATTACATGAAGGTCTTCTTTAGCGTAGTCTGGAAAGAGTCATCTACATGGCTACTTCTAAATATCAAATTACTGAATTGATGATTTATATTTCAAGAAACTGTCAGTTTAGGTAAAATTAGTGAAAGGACTGTAAAGTGAATATATTTGGATACCTGCCAAATGGTTTACCAGTCTGAAAATTATTCACGATCAAGGGAATATGAACTAAAAGATCTAGAATTACACGACTTAACGTTGAAATAATGAAGTTTGAAAGAATTTTTAAATCGTGTGAAGGTTAATAACAAGCTGCAATTTTGATAGTAAAAAACATGTCTGATATCCTTTCAGATCGAATCAGGAGAAATCCCTTCCCTAAAAAGATTCGGTAATATGCCCCTTAATGGGTAACAATCAACTTCTGTTCATGGAGGTACCTCTCACCCCCATCCCATCTTAAAAAGGAGAGTAAAAGTCTAGAGAAAGCAAATCGGATAATTAGCAAAACAACTATTTCATTATTCAATTGAGGAAAATAAAGCATCCCGTTTCATATCTCTGGTTTTCTGAAATATTCATCATTTTATTGAATAAAACGTTTACATTTTTTTCACGATAATACTAAACAATACAGTAAATACCATTGGTTGATCTGGGCAAGTTTTGGTATATATTTTGATATTTGTTTCGTTAAAATAGACATGAAAGTCAACATGAAAATTTGCTTATTATAATTCTAAACTAAAACAAGACGATTTTACAAAAATTGTTGTCCAGAGCAGTTTGGCTGTAGAAAATCAAAGCCTAAGTAATCATAATAGCCTATCATAACAGAAAAAAAGTTCAGCGTCATCAATGACCGATCGAAATCCAAATAAAATCAGGTTTGCTTCGGAGTTTGCATGAGGACCCCATCATAAATTCAACCTAAAAACTCTTTGCACATTAATTTCAATTGCTAGATTCCACATAAAGTTACTTACACTACAACTCCAAGAATCATCAAAACGTTTTCTGACTAGTTAACACTAAAGGCTGTTAGTGACACACCCAAAAACAACCCCATGGCTACCACACCATCGCTGATAAAAACTGCCTTCCTGGAGCTGGAAGCTTGGCTACCTGTGTCCAGAATATTTCCTTTGTTGCAGTAATCTTCATGGCAACACTTTGCTTTACATTCATAGAAAGGGTGGTAGCACATGTTGGTTATGTTTCCTTTGCTGAACTGTTCACAGAAACGTTTTGGTATGACCCCTTTGAAAAAGGAATCTAATTTCGCTGATCCGTTGTCGAATCTGACATGATATTGCATACATGCGGCGTAGTCAGCGTATTCATCCAATTTAAGATTTCTTTGACATTCTTCATAACTCGGGCCAGAGCAGTAATAACAGTGAATATTGAAAATACCTGTGGAGACAATATGATTTACTTATTGATTTGCCAAAGTCCAAGGTGACGGGAGGGGGGTGGAGTGAGGGACGCTGAAGATGAGGTTGATTTCTTTATTTCTGTGGATCATAGAGGGTTTCTCCAACAGGGGACACCTCTTCTATGCTGTTAGTTTATAATAAATTTAAAGGCGTTTGTCAGACAGCTTTCCTTCTACATTACCCTTTTCTTCTAATCTTTACCTTTTATGGGCTGCGACTGGACATTTAGACATTAGGAATCAGCACAATTCATTGTCGATCGTTTATTCCCGGAGATGGGTCGTAGGTTACGCTTCAGCTGCTTTTCGACTTCCCAAGAATTGACATTAAATCTTTCTAGGAATATATTTTGTATGAGACCCGCCTGTCAATTATGGGATCTCCGGGAACCACTTAAAAAGAGAATAACATCGAAGAAGCTAGGGTCGATAATTAGAACACATATATAGATATACTAGTTGCTTAGTGAGGGTTGCAATGATTTATACAACAAGTCTTAAGTATAGGCGGCCGTCACCACCAAAAATCCAAGGATGTCAAGTAGATCAGTAAATACAAAGATGGTTTAAGGATCAGCTGCTGATAGCATAGCTAATAAAGGAATGGCATGGCCAAATTATAGACAGTCTAGGTTTCCTTCATGAAATAGAACAGCCTAAACATAAATAGTTTAGCCAAATGATAAACGGTCTAGTTGCCGATGTCGAGTTGGAACATGAAATTGTGGAATGGACCAGATAAATTGCGAATAGTCTAGCGCTCATTTGCAATACGGTACACAAACGGTGTAGCTTTGTGTCAAATGACTCAGGTTAATACGGACTAGCGCAGCGTACGCACAAACGGTGTAGCTTTGGGTGAAATGGCTCAGCACAATGTCGAATGGTACATCGTACATACAAACAATGTAGCTTTGCGGGAAAAGGCTCAAATGGGCGGCCGTCACCACCAAAAATACTACGATGTCAAATAGATCAGTAAATACAAAGATGGTTTAAGGATCAGCTGCAGGATAGCATAGCTAATAAAGRAATGGCATGGCTAAATTATAGACAGTCTAGGTTTCCTTCATGAAATAGAACAGCCTAAACATAAATAGTTTAGCCAAATGATAAACGGTCTAGTTGCCCATGTCGAGTTGGAACATGAAATTGTGAAATGGACCAGCTAAATTGCAAAGAGTCTAGCGGCTCATTTGCAATACAGTACACAAACGGTGTAGCTTTGCGTCAAATGACTCAGGATAATATGGAGTTGCACAGCGTACGCACAAACGGTGTAGCTTTGGGTAAAATGGCTCAGCATAATGACGAATGGTACATCGTACATACAAACAGTGTAGCCTTGCATGAAAAGGCTCCGAGTAATGTGGAATGGTACAGCGTACACACAAATGGTATAGCGCTATGCGAAATGGCTCGGCGTAATGTCAAATGGTACGTCATAATGCCAAATGGTACAGCGTAGCGTTACGTGAAATAGGTCAGCGTAATGTGGAATAGTACGGCGTACACACAAACGGTTTAGTGACGTAACGCTACACCATTCGTGTGTACGCTGTGCCATGTGACATCACGCTGAGCCATTTCACGCAACGCTACACTGTTTGTATGTACGCTGTGCCATTCTACATTACGCTGTTCCGTTTGCCGTTTGTATTTTTGGTGGTTTCGGCGAGATGGCGATCTGCTGGGGGGCATGACGTCACCGAGCGCGAAACCATCACATTGTGTGGTCGCTGTGTTAAAGAGCCTCCACTTCGCATTGCCGTAAAGCAGAGCCAATTCGGTAAATTTCTCCTTTTTTTCCCCAGCCGATATTGCTTTCATTTGTTTTCCTTCATGAAAGCGTTAATTAAAAAAGCACTGAAGAAGACTTGATTCTACCACGGTTTACCGGCCTCCCGGTTCAGTTTCCCACAGTTTGCACACGTTGGTGCATGGTGTGCCTGAATTTTTAAAGTGTTAAGTAGTGTTATGACGTGCGAGAAATGTCGAATGCCGAGCTCTCTTTTCTTTTCTGACTCGCGCTAACTTTTCAATGAGAGTTTAACTGCAAAGGCTCTTTGAACATTTCAAAAGTACGTGAGAAGTTGGATTTTGTGTGTACCAGCATAGACGCCATGGTGAGAAAACTGATAGCCTTAATTTGTTTTCACATTTTTCAATCGAAGTGATATCGGAATGCGTTAATTGGTTTTCCGTACCATTAGAGTATTAAGCTAAGGGAAGACTGCTTACATTTATCATTTTAAAGAGGTGTATATTATATTACTTTTTTCATTTATTTTTTCCTGGGAGCGGTGATAGTAGAAATAATTTCTATTTTTATTTTCTCGATCTCGCTGTTTGAACATCGCAGAAGTACGTTAGAAGTTGGATTCTGTGTGTGCCCTGGACGCCATGGTAAGAAAACTGAGAGCCTTGATCTGTTTTTACATTTGTCAATCAAACAGTCATGTAGTTTTTGCCAAAGCAACCTTTTTCCCGAGTTGGTTTTGAGCACATACATGCCTTTCTTGATGAGACACGTCTGCCATAAAATAAGTAAAAAAACGCACAGACATAAAGCAGGGTGGTAAAGGGAAGAGAAACTGTCCTTCTACAATTCACGAAAAATAAAATCGGTTTAAGGTTACTACTTCCCACCTTCGCAACGCAACGAAAACTCAAGCATGTGCTTTTGTTTGCAAAGTATATGGCAACATGAACTTTGTTCTTGTCAATGAGTTTTCGTTGGAGAAATTTACCGAATTGGCTCTGCTTTACGGCAAGGCGAAGTGAAGGCTCTTTAACACAGCGACTACATAATGTGATGGTTTCGCGCAATTCTCCACACTCGATGACGTCATGCCCCCCAGCAGATCGCTATCTCGCCGCAAATGGAACAGCGTAATGTAGAACGGCACAGCGTACATACAAACAGTGTAGCGTTGCGTGAAATGGCCCAGAGTGATGTCGCATGGCACAGCGTACACACGAATGGTGTGGCGTTACGTCGAATAGCTTTGCAGAACATCAGACGCTCCCGCTGAACATTAAATTGCTCAGTATTACATGAAATATTTCGATGTTGTGGCAAATCGTCGAGCTTGTTTGTGGCGTGACGTGATGGGTGAGCTATTTAACGCAACGCTAAACCGTTTGTGTGTACGTTGTAGCATTTGACATTACGCTGAGCTATTTCACGCAACGCTACGCTGTTTGTATGTACGATGTATCATTTTACATTATGCCGTACCATTTGACATTACGCTGAGTCATTTCGCACAACGCTACACCATTTGTGTGTACGCTGTACCATTCCACATTAGGCTGAGCCTTTTCCCGCAAAGCTACATTGTTTGTATGTACGCTGTACCATTCGACATTATGCTGAGCCATTTCACCCAAAGCTGCACCGTTTGTACGTACGCTGCGCTAGTCCGTATTAACCTGAGTCATTTGACACAAAGCTACACCGTTTGTGTACTGTGTTGTAAATGAGCGCTAGACTATTAGCAATTTATCTGGTCCATTTCACAATTTCATGTTCCAACTCGACGTGGGCAACTAAACCGTTTATCATTTGGCTAAACTATTTATATTTAGGCTGTTCTATTTCATGAAGGAAACCTAGACTGTCTATAATTTGGCCATGCCATTCCTTTATTAGCTATGCTATCCTGCAGCTGATCCTTAAACCATCTTTGTATTTACTGATCTATTTGACATCCTTGTATTTTTGGTGGTGACGGCCGCCCATACTTTTCTTTGATTATCGTGAATTGTCGCACTGTCTAAACAATAATTTAGCGACTCGCACAACGTTGTTACCAAAACTGATAAATTCATGCCTCAGTTTGGGTGCAATTCACAGCTAATTTAGGGAAGTGGTTAGCCATCATTGGAACACCCTCATTTTCGATCAATTACGTGACTGAGGAATGTTGCTTGAGTTAACCTCCAACGATATGTCAACAAAACTCACAACGCACGTCGCGTCAACTCGTATTTCGAGGCTAGATGTCTCCGCGAATCTTTGGCCACTGCTAACTGGAAGCACGATTTAGACAGAATTTTCGCCCTCTACCTTTCCATCCCTGCTCATATTTCGATTCATCATTACGAGCTGTTGTTTAAGTCGGTCTTTCGGCTATGTGTAAAGAGATACCTGTTCTGGCAGAGTTAATAGATCTCTACTAACTCTGGTTCTGGGTGGTGGCTTTGTAACAATAAGTCACTTGGAAAAAAGACTAACTTTCTCATTGATTTGACATGATTTTCTATATGAAAAAATATGAAATAATTGTTGTATCTACTACTGCTGTATCGTACGCTAAAGAAACAGCAATGCCACTCTCCAGACACATCAGCATACAAGCGACTGAGCATTGTCGGTGCACAACTATCCGTGTTTACAGGTAGTTTCAGTTAACGAAATCACGAGCGGCTTTCATTTCGTCACAGTCCTACTTATCGATGGCCCAGAAAGAGCAGAAGAAAATGTAACCCACGAACAATTCAATCTTCATGGTGTCCGGTCGAGCTTGTAGTATACCTCTAAATCGCCCAAAACTGTCCGCCGGCTTTCTCAGAAGGAAGAGTTCAACTGAGCTCCCAGAACTGCTGGCTCTACTGAAGTAGATACTTACTATTTGTGGGGGGCACCAAAGAAAAAACAAATCACCCCACTACGTCCGAGAACTGTTGACGATTTAAGGAGAAATACGAATTTGTGGCTCTCAGGATTGGAATAGTTTTTTCCAAAATGTTTTTTAAAAATTATACACAAGGTGAGACATTACAACTGCCCCAGCCTGCCCTACGATCGATTCGTCAAATGTGATCTAATGTTTGGGCCTTACTATTACAATTAGCGTAGAAATTTCAACACTAGTAACACGCATTACCAAAACAAAGAGTACCGGTAGCCAATTTTATATATAAGACCAGTAAAGGCGAACAATCAGCAGTTTGTTTCGACGAAAGTCACTCAACTATAGCGGCCCTGATTTACAGTAAAGCCCACGTAAGTGGACTTTCATGAGATCTGTTTAAAATGATTAAGAATCCTGAATAATTTTCAGATTGCTGGGAACCTTTAACTCACGCATAACATGTTTTTGTTACATGGTACTATGACTTTAAATAATTATTGAAATGATTTTCTGCCCCCTCAGTAACTATCCACCAGACAGTATATGAAACTAATACAGCGCCAATCGCTCCGTGGAGTTAGAGTAATGATGGGATGAGGCATTTGCAAGAAGTATTAGCGTTATTCCGAGAGAGGCAAAGCATGTGATCTTTTGCACGTACGAAGCCCTCGAAGTGATATTTTCCCCACTTCGACCATTATTAAGTTGATTTCACCAAACGAAAGTTAGGAATCCATCACGCATCTTATATATAGCTAATCTTCTCTTCTCGGATAAGGGTAACTTGTTACGCTTTCACTGCTGCTCGACTTTCCACGAAAATCTGCTAAGAGTTAACACAATATCTTTCTAGGAATTTATTTCCTGTGAAAGCGGAACCTCGGGGAACCACTCACAAAGATAAAAACTTCGAAAAAGGTCGATAATCAGAACATAACTTGAAAGCTGCTTTATTGTTAAGGTTGCAATGACTTACAACAATTCTACGGCATTGGATGTCGTAGTCTGATTATCGTAAATTTTCGCTGTCTAATCTGTAATTTAGCGACGTGCACAACGTTTTTACACAAATTATTTCCTTAGTCTTGTGGTACTAGTACCCTGATCATCCAATTCTAGGTTGGGGTAATGCATAACCAATCTATATCCAGTATAGTGGCTAGCTGTTGAGAGGAAAATCTCATTTCGATTGTAAGAATGTTGTCTGATTTAGCCGCGCATCGGATGTTTGAAGAAAACTCACAGCGCACGTCACCTCAATTAGCATTTGTAGTCAAGATCGCTCTTCAGATCTCACTGGCCACTGCTAACTGGAAGCAGAATTTAACCAAAATTTTCGATCTATACGTTTCCTTTCCGGTCATCACGACGAGCTGTTATTTAAGTCGATCTTTCGATTCTGTGTAAAGAGATACGGGTTCTGGGTGGTGGCTTTGCAACAGCAAGTCACTTGCAAAAAAGACTATCTTTCTCATCGATTCGACATGATTTGCCGATTACAAAATATGAAATGATTGTTGTATCTACTACTGCAGTATCTTATGCTAAAGGAAAAATATTGTCTCTCTCCAGACACATCAGCATGATTCAAGCGACTGAGCATTGAACATGCACAGCTATCCGTATTTACATGTAGTTTCAGTTAAGGAATTCATGAGCGGCTCTCATTTCGTCACAGCTGTACTTACCGATGGCCCAGAACGAGCAGAAGAAAATGTAACCCACGAACAATTCGATCTTCATGATGTCTGGTAGAGCTTGTAGTATACCTCTAAATCCACCCAAACCGTCGGCTTGATCAGAAGGACGAGTTCAACTGAGTTCCCAGAACTGCGGCGGGCTCTAAGTATGCGCTTAAACTTTGCGGGGGGCCACCAAATAAGGCATTAAAAAAATACCTTTCCATCCGAGAACCGTTGACCATATTTCGGAGAAATACGAATTTGTAGCTCTCAGGTTACGAATACTTTTCTTCCAAAACGAATTTTTAAAAATTCTACTCTGGGAGAGACCCTACAACTACTGCAGCCTTTGGTGCGGTCGATTGATCACTGATCACCTATTCGTCAAATGTCATCTAATGTAAAAATTTCAATGTTGGTAGCACGCATGACTAGACGGAAGGGTGTACAATTTATCTCGAAAATTGACATCCATCACGCAACTTCTCGATCTTTTCTTCTCCTATCAGGGTCACAGGTGACGCTTCCACTGCTTTTCGACTTTCCACGGAAATAAGCCAAGAATCAACACAAGATCTTTCTAAAAGTTTATTTTCTATGAAAGCGTGACCTCTGGGAACCACTTACGAAAAGAAAAAATTTCGGAAAAGGTTAATAATTAGAAAATAAATTAAAAGTTGCTTTGAGAGGATTGCAACAACAATTCTTCGACATTGTATGTCGTAGTCTTTGATTAGTGTAAATTTTCTGTGTCTACACAGAATTTTGTGACTCGTGCAACGTTGAGACACAAATTATTTGGTTGGTCTAGTAGTCCTAGTGCTCTGATAAACTGAATTCTAGGTTGGGGGAAATACGAATCTTGTGGCGCTCGGGATACGAATACTTTTCTTCCAAAACGTTTTCAAAAATTCTACGCTGGTAGAGACGCTGGTAGAGACCCTACAATTGCCGCAGCCTTTTCTTAGCTGATCAATTCGTCTCTGATCACCTACTCGTCAAATGTTACCGAATGTTAGGGCATATACGCTTACTTCTAACGTCGACGTGAAAATATCAATGCTGGTGGCGCGCATGACAAAATGTAAGGGTGTGCAATATTCTGAGAAAATTTGACATACATCGCGCAACTTTTTGTCAATCTTCTCTTCTCTGATCAGGGTCACAGGTCACTCTTTCGACTTTCTACGAAAATCAGGCAATAATCAACACAAAATCTTTCTAAAAGTTTATTTTATCTGGAAGGGGGACCCATAGGAACCACGTAAAAAATAGTGTTTTTAAAAATGCACCACTGGTTAGGGGTCTGCAACTACCTTAACCTTTTCTGCGGCAATCAATTCGTCTCTGATTACCTATTCGTCAAGTTTGACCTAATGTTGGGGCATATAAGCTAACTTCTACCGTTTGCATGAAATTTCAATGCTGGTGGCGCGCATGGCTAAAACAAAGAGTCTTCAACTTCTTTCAGACGAGTAAAGGCGAACAAATCAGCGAAGGAATACGCAAATGCAAATGCATTTGATAACTCAGCTCACTTAACAAAAAAACCAACAGCTGAAATTTCGTTCCTAGACAAAAAGCTTGAGTATTTGCTTATTCTTATCATATTTCAAGGAGAAGTCGTCGCGACCGAGGATCAGGTTTAAACAAACAGTTCGTGGGTTCTCTCGATTTCTCGGAATTCACATAATTGACTCGCTCACTTGTAAAGTCAAAATATATTCAGATCAGAACTGTTTACATTTTTTTCGCTCCGTCATGCTTTGAATCTAATACCAGGAGAGCGCAGATTCACTTTGCCCTTATGGAAAGAAAATGTCAAATTTTATTGACATTAAATGATCTTCGAAGAAGTTTAATTTGCCGTTTCGTAAAAGGCATAACTATTTGTTTTTTTCGCGCAACTCTTGTGATTTAGTCTCACATACTTCACAGTTTACGACTTTCATAGAACTTTTAAAGCTTACTTAAATCCAATGGTAAATAAAATGACACAGCACTTCCTTTCGAAGTCTGGCCGTTGCTCTCATGAATTTGCACGTAGATTTCTAGACATTTCATTTAGTTTTAGCATATTTGCATAACATTTCCCTTGAAAACAAAATTGACCATTAGTCTGAAAGACCAAAAGTCCTTGCGGGCCGCCACTGTTTACACTGTGGTTTAAAAATCTACTAGGTTATCCAAGACAATTTTCCTTTAAATACAATCTCATACTCAAGTAATGACATTTTATTGAAGAAAACGTTCACAGTTTTTTCATGATAGCACTACACAGTACAGTAAATACCATTGGCTAATATGGGCGGGTTTTGGTATATATTTTGACCTTCAATTATTTAAAACACCTATCTAATAAATCAACATGAAAATCTTGTGAGAAGTAAAAATTCAGAAGTAAAAGAAGACGACTTCACGAGAGTTTTTGTCCAGAGCAGTTTGGCTGTAGAAAATAAATAATATAGGTTCGCATCATCAATGACCTGTGGGATTAGCCCTTAATCCTCTTACCTACCAACCGCGCTCGACTTATAAATATCCTGATGTGATTATGCAACAGTTCAGTTGACCTCAGGCCTTGCTCTTGTGAGCTCCTCTGCTCATTAAATATATAGCTTTAAATATATACTTGGCCTCCACTCTTTCTTTCGCCTCCGATAATCGCACATGACCAATGAGAAATCAAAGTAAAAACAGGTTTGCTTCGGGGTTTGCATAAGGACCCCATCAAAACTTCATCCTCAAAACTGTCCGCACATTAAGATTAAGCGCCTGATGACACACACGGTTAACTACAAGAATCATCAAAACGTTCTCTGACTAGTAGATAACATTAAAGGAAAAAACAACAAAAACAACCCCATGGCCACCACACCATCACTGGTAAAAACTGCTTTCCTGGAGCTGGAAAATTGACCACTCGTGTCTAGAATATTTCCTTTGTTGCAGTCATCTTCATAGCAGCACTTTGCTTTACATTCAAAGAAAGGATTGTGACAAGTTTCGGATGTTTCCTTTGTTGATCTGTTCACAGACACGTTTAGATGTGCCCCCTTTATAAACCTGATCCATTTTCATTGATCCATTGTCGAATCTCATATAATATTGCACACAGGCGTAGTCTTCTGGGACCTCCTGCCGTGTAAGATTACTTTGACAGTCTTCATAACTCGGACTGCCCGGGCAGGAATAGTAGTATTGTACATGTACATTAAAAATACCTGTGGAGACAGTATGATTTACTTACTGATTTGAATACTGTATTTTCCAGGTGATGTGTCTTGTTTCTGACGAGAGTAACTCAACTAAATCAGCTCTAATTACTCTAAGCCCTGGTAAGTGAACTTTAAACCGAATATATCTGAAATAGTAACAGACATTGGGAACCCTCGATTAGCAAATAACATGCGTTTGTAAAATGGCCTGGTATTGTGACTTTGAATAATATCTAAAATAATTTTCTTCCCCCCTCACAGACTGTCCACATGACAATCCATGAAAACTGTCACAAGGATTTACACACCTGTCGCTCCATTGAGTTAACGTTTCGATGGGACGAGGACGCGTGCAAGAAATATGAGTTATTCCGAGAGGGGCACAGCATGTGATCTTTTGCCTGTACTAAGCGCACGCAATTATATATTCCCCCTTCGACCGCGCATTTTACGTAGTTTTCAAGACGCTCTCCGTACTCAGATAAAACGACCGATGATTTATTTTAATAAATTCTAATAAAGTCCTTAAAAGGACTTGTGGTTTTGTTTCATCTTTTTCCCCCACAATCACTCAAAGTAACGCTTGAAATAGTACTAGTTAATCCAAAACATTGACACACGTGGGTGATTTGACATATGATAATGAGCTCCCTGTACACAAAGATGGCACACAATATATGTGAACTCCGGACGTGACGTCACATGCAAACCAAGAATTCAGTTGATTTCACACAATACAAGGAAAATTAGGACTCCATCACGCAACTTATTGCCAATCTTCCACCCTCGGATTAGGGTCACAGGTTACTCTTCCATTGCTTTTCCACTTTCCACGACTCAAAACAAGGACTCAAAACAACATCTTTCCAGGAATTAATTTTCTATAAGAGTGGGACCTCCGAGAACTGACCACTTATCGTGAGAGAAAAACTTCGGAAAAGGTCGTTAAGTAGACATAAATAAAAAGTTGCTTTGTGAGGGTTGCAATGAATTATGCAAGTTCTTCGGCGTTGGATGTCGTATTCTTTAATTGACGTAAATTTTCGCTGTTCAAGTGGATAGCGCTAGCCGTCATTATATTAGGAAACCCTTAGTTTTCAATTACGAGAATATTGCGTGAGTTAGCCGCGAACGATCTGTCAACAAAACTAAGACTCACAACAGTGGCTGTGGTCGCACTCCAGAGTTTAATCACGATTGAGGCACCTCTAATCACGCTTTAGCTAACTCTCAAGTGCGACCCCAAAAAATTATTTCAAGCTTCTAAAGATTCTAAAGCGCATTTTAAAGCGTCTAAAAATGTAGGATTTATCTCGAGATTTTTCTAATGCTTGTCAGTTAAGCCAATCATGTGCTTGAACAAATATTGTTACACAGATACTTTAAAGTGCACCTAAACCCAAAAAATTTTTTTCGCTTAATGAAATAAGCTTATTTTTTGGAGTATTTCTGAGCAAAAATTTTTTAATTTGCTTAAATCTTAAATTTTCTGTGCCTAGTCAAAATACGGAAAATCGGCCGCCATCTTGCCCCACGACCGAGTTTAAAGAGGAATGGCTCTAGCGGATAATGTGACGTCAAATCGAGAACACGAAAGTCTGCTTTTCACACATTTTCACTTGTTTGGGAAGGTTGTGGTTGATATTGTCCGAAATATGCCGACCAGGTGAATTGTATGAGGAATGTATGAAGCGTGATACCCTCTTGCAAATTTCGCACGTTGCTACATCCTCCTATAACACACTTAGTCGGCATATTTTCGGACAAAATCGACTACAACCTTCCTAAACAAGCGAAAATGTGTGAAATGCAGACTTTCGTGTTCTCGATTTGACGTCACATTACCCGCTAGAGCCATTCCTCTTTAAACTCGGCCGTGGGGCAAGATGGCGGCCGATTTTCCGTATTTTGACTGGGCACAGACAATTGAAGATTTGAGCAAATAAAAAAATGTTTGCACAGAAATACTCCAAAAAATACGCTTATTTCGTTAAGCGAAAAAAAATTTTTGGGTTTAGGTGCACTTTAATGCAGGTGCAAAAGTTTTGCTGCTGAGAAATACTCATTTATCCTGTTGAGCAGAATTCTGAGATTTATTGTACGATAGCCGAAAATGTCGGAACAGTTAGGTAGACCATGCTTCCAAATTGAGAATACACATCCAAGGAGGAGGTAGGCATACAAATTAATAAACGTTTCCATTGAAAAATAAAACAAGGATAGATTTTGCTTATTTCCCGCTCATTAGCACTTGGCAGCCAGGAGCGTTGTTCGCCATGACAGGTTTTCGTATCTCCTGGTGCAACTTGCTAAATCACGATTCACAATACAGCCCTATCTTAAATCATGATTACAGTGGAACCTCGATTCAACGAGCCTCTATATAACGAAGCCTCGGTATAACGAACGATACTCCAGTTTCAACCTGGCTAAAGTTCCAGTAAAATGTATGTCATAGAACCTCGATATAACGAACCAACTTCCCCAGTCCCTTGGCACTTCGTTTAATCGAGGTTCCACTGTAATATATAGGACTGAATCACGATTGCGATCTCCAATGCGACCACAGCCAAAGTCAACAAAACTCACAACGCACGTCAGGTCAATTTGCATTTCTAGTTAAGATCGCTCCGCAGATCTCTGGCCATTGCGAAATGGAAGCCGAATTTAGACCGCGCAAAACTTCGACCTCGGCAAAATTTTCGCTTTCTACCTTTCCCCCGCTCATATCTCGATTCATCGTGACGAGCTGGTGTTTAAGTCGATCTATCGGTTCTGAGTAAAGATTTACTCTATCTGGGTGGTGGTTTTAATTTGCAACAAAGAGTTATTTAAAAAAAGGACTATCTTCTCTTTCAATCTGACATGATTTTCCGATTAGAGAATATCAAATAATTATTATACCTACTACTGCAGTTTCCTATGCCAAACAAAACCAATTTGCTTCTCTCCTGACACATCAGCATTGTACATGCACAGGAGCCCATGGGCTCCTGATATGCTCGAGTATCTGTATTTATGTGTAGTCTCAGTTAACGAGTTCATGAGCGGCTCTCATTGCGTCACAGTCCTACTTACCGATGGCCCAAAAAGAGCAGAAGAAAATGTAACCCACGAACAATTCGATCTTCATAATGTCTGGTCGAGCTGTAGTATACCTCTAAATGAGTGTCCCTCTAAATCTCCCAAAACCGTCGGCTTTATCAGATGGACGAGTTCAACTGAGCTCCCAGAACTGCAGGCTCTGAGAACATCTCAGAGAATAAATAATTCAGAAGAGCATGCTCCCTGACCCTCATAGAGGTTGGCGCGCTCGGTGTTCGAGGTCGACTGACCTCCCTCGAAGGGAGGTTCAAAGGGATATAGGGTAGGATTTTTGGGACTGTCGATTTTCCCACCCTAACGCCCCATCGAAAACATAAGAGAGGTGTGTTTGAAGGTGCGTGAACAATGAGAAGGATATGAATAAATTGCTGCGGATGGCAACGACTCCAAAGCG